TTATTTAGATATTTAGAGACCTTACATTGTTATTTATTTAAGGAGATATAAATGAGACACTTTTTGTGCTGTTCTGCACACATTTACCTTATTTTCTTCATCAAAATATGACCGCGAGTAGTCATTTATTTAGTTGTGATTTAAGAAATACACCTTTAGAGCACACCTTGGTATTGTGGTTATGATTTAAGAGAAGGCTTGTGCTAAAGAAACACAAAATTAGAACTTGTTTTTGTTGCTTAATGTTTTTATATGATTTAATTTGTATCACTTGTCCCCTAAGATTGCCAGCAGAATGTTTAGTCGAGTGTATTTATCTGATGCATGTTTTCTGGGTCCTGTTTACAGACGGCTACGCATTCTCACAGGATGAGAACGGAGTGCTCTCCCAGTCTGAGGTCATCAGAGCCTACGACACCACCAAGCAGCGGACCAATGAGTGGTGAGATCCGGCTCGCTGGACCCCGCCCCCTCTCAGCGGTCACTCAACTTTTTAAAGGCTGACAGAGAGCGGAAGCCTGTCAGTTTAACTTTGGCCAGCCTAGGGCACCCTGGGCAACAACGGATAGGAAAAATGAAGCGGTATGAGAAAGAGAGAGAGGGGGGGGGAAAAATCAAGTTATGTTGTGCTGTAGTTGTATGTTCGACAGCACACACAAGCACTGTGCTAGCATATTTTTGCCCAGCCTGCGGTCAGTATGGTTTCTGATCTGTCAAACAGAGGAGAACAGCATCAAAAATTGACTCTCCTCCTCTCTCCTATGAGTGTTACAGCCAAAAATGTGTTGATGAGGGTGGTGATAAAAACTTTTGTGGTAATGGTCTTTGACTGTGACTTCCTAATCATTAATGGCACATTAAACACTCCCTTTTGTTTTTTAATGTTTCAGTATTTTATTTGCATCAACAACAACAAAAAAGATATATCCCAGATCACTGGAAACTTTCAAAGAACATTATGAATGCAGTCCCTGTTTTAAAAACAATATGTATTTAGAAATAATAATTAGGGGTTAACCGGTTGTTTTTACACTCCTCGAATGCTTTCTGCACTAATTTGAAAACAGCTGTTTTTTATTATTTATTTATTTTTAGATTTATGTTAACTCTCATGTATCAAGGCCTTACATTTGTTGTTGCCTTCAGCCAATCACTGGGTATATTTTTAGTTTTTGATTTATTTCGATTTTCGTTTTGTTTTGATCAATCTGTTTATCGTGCCTGATTCTTCAGATCTTTTTAGCTTGCGCGTAGCCTATCTGACATTTTTACTTTACAATTTAGCAACGTTTCAATGGCTTTCTTGAACACGTTTCTGCATTCCACATCTTACACGGCTGCAATGATCACAAAGGTGCCTAACAGGAACTCTCTTCTTTTTTTTTTCCCCAGTGAGATAATATTTCAGAGTCTCTATCTAGGCAGCGTTATAGCACGCTTACACGTTAGACCAAAATACTGATGTATCAGGCTGCTACACGAGCGCAATGAACCCGGCCCCGCTTATGCGTCCAGCTCTTCGTGTGAATCTCTTTTAGACCATCAGATGTTCACCATAATGTTTATTTGACTTAGAACAGAGTGATAATCCCTCAAGCATAAGTGCCATTCGCATAGAAGAGGAACGGAGGAATTCGCCAGACCCACACAGTATCGATCCAACTTTGTCTCAATAGTTATTTTGTGAATTTGTATTTTTATATTGGACTAAGTGTGACTTTTTGGACTGATCTGCTTTGTAATGAAAACGTCGTCCCTCTTTTTTGTGGCTCCATTCAGAAACTGGTCGTGGTTCATGAGCTTACGTTGCCTGTGACTTCAACTGTCTTAACGCTTCTTTATTTGATGGTGGAGTTTGTGCGTTGGTTTTCTTCTCCCTGTGGGAGAGCACGTTTTGTATTGTGCGTCTGCGCAACGTGTGTCGTCTGCATGTGCATGTGAGCTGCGTTACGGATGCGTGCGTGACTGCGTGAGAGTTCGTGGTCCCGTCGGTATGCATGTTCGTTTAACTGTATTACAATAGTTCTCGAGAGATTTGAATGAGGATGTGTGTGATGTCCTCTTTGTCCGGTTGTATGATGCTGCTTGTTTCGTCCGTCTGCACGACTCCAGGTATACTAACGGTGAGCTGTATGCCATTGCATGGCCCTGTACATCAGCAGGTGTGTGTGTGTGTGTGTGTGTGTGTGTGCTGGTGTAAGTGTGTGAGCGCATGTGTGCGTCACGTCTCTGTATGTCTCGGTTTGTATGAAGCTCTGCTAAAGCTTGACCGGAGATGTTGCACAATGCACTCTTTTATCTTTTATGTGATGAATATTCTCTTATGTAGTTCATATCAGTTTTATTTATCTGGATGGATGTACTGTACATGTTCTTAATTTAGTTTCAGATCTCAGTGTAACTCTTCTTCTTCTTCAAGCCGAAACGTCTTTTATTTAACTCGACAAGAGTACATTAATGGTTCTGTGCATTTCGTTCCTTAAGCTGTGCTTTTTCTGTGGGTCATCATCCGACTCGAACACTGGAAATATGATGTGACATTGGTTAAAGGCTTGGACTGTTGCTTTCGAAAATCCCGTCTGTCAAAGTGACTGATTGCATGAATGGAAAAGTCGTCTTGGTTTAGCCTAAATGTTAATTGTACGCTGAATCTCTCTTGTGTTGGTCACTTTAAAGAATGAAAATGCACTTTTATATGGTTTCGAATTCTCTATTGGGTGTTTTCTTTGTTTTCTTTTGGATCTTTCTTTTGTCTTTTTGTTAAATGATTGTTTAGCATGTTGGAACTGCAAACTTTTAAGTGTTTTGTCTTTTAACTGCCATGAAGGTCTACTGAAATAAACTTTACAACTGAAGCTCTTCTCTCGTGATTTTTTTTTTTTTTTTTTTTTTGCATCACTGGATTCTGTTAATTATATCCTGAAGAATCCTCAAGGCTATCCGAGATGTATTAGTACTGGAACAGTATTGTAGCAGGCATCAGGAGGATTTGTTGTATGGAGTATTAGCAGTACAGATCGCATGGCTCTCCATTGGGGATTCATTGAACACAAAGTCGTGATTTGGCAATAATCTGTTTTGTTTTCCGTATCATAAACTTCCAAGAGCTTATATCCTGTCTAGACCAATGCATTTCTAACTTTTTTTGCACAACTTTAGCCCTACAATCATAAATCTCTGCTTCTGGCCGCTATAGTGTTTGTGCCTTAAAGCGAGTAACCCGTTTAATACTGTGCATTGGTTTTCATGTCCTCTTTTAAAACACCTTTGAGATGTTTCACCATCTGCACAGCACTTGTTAATACGCTCTTCTTCAGAACATGTGCACACTGCTGTGGCCGTCCTCTTGAAAGGGCAGTTAGGACATTAAAATGATGTCTTGTTTACAGCAAGCAAAATCTGTTTACTGTTTAATCATGAGAAAATTCTGGCTCAGCGTTTCCCATGAACACCCAATGTATTCAACAAATGTTTGTATGTTCAGAAAATATCTTTTGTGCAAAATATGTTTTACTACTGTTCACAGGTTTAGGGTCGGAAAGATTTTAAATAAGTGTCTGATGCTCACCAAGGCTGTATTTGATCAGAAATGCTGTAAAAAAAAAACAGCAATATGTTTATTTTAAAATATAAATTAGACCTTAGATGGCAAAGCTGAATTTCCAGCATCATTACTCCAGTCTTCAGTGTCACATGATCCTTCAGAAATCATTCTAATACACTGCTGCTCAAGAAACATTTCCTATTATTGTTTGTTGAAAACAGCTGTGCTGATTAACTTTTTTGTGGAACACATGACACATTTTTGAATTTAAATAGAAAGTTTAAAAGAACAGCATTTATTTTAAATCTTTTGTAATATTATAAATGTCTTTAATTTGATAAGTTTAATGCATCCTTGCTGAATAAAAGTATTCATTTTTATTTTATTTTTATCTTACTGACCCCAAACGTTTGAACGGTATTATGCTTTCAGTGAGGACAGAAAAATTACGCTGAATCTGGTCATCGTGTGTGGCATTAAACAGGATGCGATATCAATCTAAACAGGACAAGGCGCAAATAAATTACATTTTAGACATTTTACATGTTCTGTTGATTAGTGACATTAATAGAGTTGTTATCTATTACATATTTTAATAACAGGCGTTTATTTATGTTGGCCACGCTTTATGTAAATGTATCCACTGCTATGAAGGAATTAGTCCATGGGTTAAAACAAGTTTTCCCATCTTTGGTAATAGTTTTCTGGAATGTCACATATTCTAAGTCGTCCTGTTCTAAAATGGAATCTCTTATGTGAGTGATGTCATACAGTTTCTTGAATGTGTCCTGAATTATAGAATTTGTCTCTTTCATTCTTAAAGGGATAGTTCACCCAAAAATGAAAATTCTGTCATCACTTATTCACCCTCAAGTTGTTCCAAACCTGTATGAATTTTTTTTTTCTTCTGTTGAACACAAAAGATATTTTGAAGAAGATGGGCAACCAAACAGGCACACGGCCCCATTGACTCCCATAGTGTGGAAAAAAAAATGTTCAACAGAAGAAAGAAATTCAAATTCATACAGGTTTAGAACGACTTGAGGGTGAGTAAATGATGACAGATTTTTCATTTTTGGGTGAACTATCCCTTTAAATCTAATGCATTTCTGTTGTTGGAGAAACCAACTAAACACAGGTGAAAGATAAAACGGTTTAATTTACCTCAAAAACACTGTTGGTTAGAGACCGTAATACTTAGTTGAAGGCCGTCTCGTCACATGATGTGTTTCCAGCTGGACTGTACATTTAGATACACCTGATCATTTACAAAAAAACATCTCGTATTAAAAATAACACAATACAAACCATCTGAATCTGAGCCAATAATGGTTTTCAGATTGCTACAAATTATACAAAATTTAAGAATGAATGCTCTCCAAACATTAAAAACAGAAGTTTCCCCAAAGGTAGCTGTGCATTCATCTGATGTTAACGCATGTTTCTAGTAATGTATTATTAGCGAGAGTAACACATGATGAATGCCTGTTTTAAACATTATGAACAATCTTTGTCTCAGTCTGGTAATTAAACCTTTAATCTAATACCATTTCTATAAAACCCTCATTCATACATGGCACTATTTGTGTGCACGACCCCTAAAATGGGACTGAGATTGTCAAGAAAAATGTCTTTATAATCTGTCGTTCTTCCTTAATGTGTAATTATATAGAATGACCTCAAATACAAAGGCTAAATGTTCAGTGGAGTGTCGACCAGCTGGAGTTTTTCAAAAATAAGACGTCTTTTATCATAGAAACAGATTGGAAGTGCATACAAGATATGATCAATTGTAGATATAGGTGCTTTGAAGTAGGCGTCCATGTTCTGGTGTGTTGTGTCCAGCACTTGAGTGTCTGTCAGATTGATAGTCCACTATCTCAGCAGCTTAAGCGCTCCACACGGCTCTCAAATTCCAGCTGCGGTCTCACAAGTGCCAGTCAAGCTCGCTGAAAGACGTATTAGTGCCTGTTTCCTTGTGCGGGAGCCCCTGTAATATGAGTCTACAACAGGGCATTGTGAATGACCGGCTCTTTGGTGTTCGTCTCCTTTTCGAGCAGCTGAGAAGCCCAGGTCAGCTCTGGCTGAAGTCAGCAAATCCCTTGTTCCCAGAGAACGGTTCCTGCGGGAGAGGAAAGAAGTATTGTTGTGGCAGGAGGAACCCGGAGCTTTGCAGGGTCTGGTGGTGCATCTGTAACTGGCTGTGACCGTGTGTGTGTTGGAGAGAGTTACTGGCCTGTAGGCCCTGCTGGGAGGTGTAAGGTGGTGGAGGCAATAAGGGCTGCGTCGGGGTCACGGACACAGGAGTGGACGCTGAGGAGGACGAGACCATCAGGAGCTGCTGTTGCGAACACTGCCCCAGCGTGTCAGCCCGGCCCAGGGAGAAGCGACGGACTGAACTCCCTCCTCCCGCTGAGCTGGAGCTGGTGGTGGCCGTGCTGGACTGGCGGGACGGCGTGCGCAGGCTGGGAGGAGCCGTGGTGAAGATCATGGGGATGGTTTCGCCCTGACTGCGCAGCGAGAAGCGGATCGGCTGCTGGGTGGGTTGCTTGGGTCGCAGGCAGGTGCAGCAGTACACGGCCACCAGAGAGCCCACCACTACAAACGCCACGAAGATGGAGCCCACCATCAGAAAGGGCACGTAGATGGGCTCTGGAAGAGAGAAACGGCACGGGTTTAGTGGATAACTCAATATTCAGTCAAATTAACAACTTCACTGCACTGACAAAACTTGAATAATGACACCATATATAGCGGAATCGAATTTATTATACATAATTGATTAACACCCCAATGCTGTCACTGTTTTTGAACTGAATTGAATCAACATTATACTAAACATAATACCAAGTATACGACACCATAGAAATCAATTTGACTTTACTTTGAATTTAGTTCATTGTCATTTAGTCTTATAAATTATGGTTTCACAAATGTTATTTTTAAATTCCTTTTTATTGAACATGTGATAGTTGTTGCTTTTAATTTCATCTATTGGTTGTTACTAAATGAAAGGTTTATTTAATAGTGAATATTACTTTTAAAAGCACCGATAATAATTGCAAAGTAATGACCAATGTTGAGCTAAATCAAGATAAAACATTTTCTTTAAAGGGAATCTTTTTACAGCTTAATATATTTTCTATTTATTCACATTAATTATCTTTTCAATATCTAAATTGTCAGAAACCCCAAATTTAAATATTCAAAACACATGTTCCCACTGTTTGCTTGAGATTATGGCTTTAAAACTCACCCCAATGAGTTTGTGTACCCAGTTAAAGTCAGTGTAAACTGAATGTTTAATCATGTTAAGAAAGTTGGGCTGCAGGACTCAGTCACCAACATCATACTTGCACATGTAGCTGAGATCAGTAGGCAATATTATGTCAAATTAGGAATGATGATCATTAGGTCATACAGTTGACCGGTCTAAAAGATCTAAATCATTAATGAAGCCTTTATCAAAATATAATGATTTGATGTAACAATATTTAGTTTGTCCATGAATGTGATTAGATGAGTAGTTGTAATGTATACCTTTCTTCTTAAAACACTGCAAACATGTCAGCCAACTAAATAAACGCAAGTTTAATTGGCTTAAATCACACCCTGCTGTGCTTGCACTTTTCAACCACTTTGAATTGAACTGATGAGTAAGAAATCAAGAAAATCTGGCAACTTCTAAAACTGCGTAAAAATGACAAATTTTTGTCACAAAATACAATGATGAGAACATTTTCTCCATGCAGTGGCTGTAGAGAGAGTCCATGTGCATTATGGCTGTTAGTATTTTATCCGAGTAAAACATTGTGTAGCTAATCTCACTCTTCATTCTTAAGACCAAAAATATCACAAGTCCTGTTATGACATTCTGTAATGTGATAATTGTGCTGGCAACAAGTAAACTATTATAAGTAATTCAACCAGATGTCATTACGGATTCATTTTATATCCCTGTTCCAAACCTGTATAAAAGTAGCCCATTTATCATTAAAAAAAACTTTTTGTTTTACTAATTTGTTTAAAAAAAAGTGAATAGTTAGAGGATAAAACTACTTTCAGTACTCTTGCAGGAATAACATTTTTCTAATGAGAAACTTAATAGTAGACCTATGTTTGTTCAGTTTAGTTGGCTGAATCATATACATAATGACGAATCTTTTTTATTAAATCTGTGGTTAATTTTACAGCTATTTATTTATGAGTTTATCTGGGCCTTACGGGCAGCATATTGCGTGTCGTTCTCCACTTCTCTGTCGTTCGTGCAGGTTCCCTGATCGAGACGCGCGTCCGGGGCCGCGCAGCAGTAGCGCAGCGAGCAGCTCCCGCAGCACACCGTCGCGTCCGCCGTATCAAAGTCCTCCGGACACTGAAAGCCCTCATGGTAATTCCCACTGCTGTCTAGCCAGCCGTGACAGTACTCTCCCCGGGCATCAGATATCCGCAGATTCCATGTCAAGTACCCCAAGACTAGGCAATTCAGCAGGCGCACCATACCGGCAAGATGCGCTTTAATTTGCCAGTTCCTCTCAAACGGAGCGCGCCCGATAAACTGACGTTTTGGGGTTAAGCGAGCTTTAAACGAACTAGCAATGATTTGGGAAAATACTCCATCAGCTCATAAGATTTAAATCAGTCACTGGGATTAAATCCAAGGATTGTTGTCCAAATCCAATATTGGGAATCATCCAGCTCCGGTCAGATTGTTTTAAAATAGGCTATCACTTCCAGAAATTCCATGATTCTATCCGCATTTTATCCGCTCCCGCTGTTTACTGACATTTTAGTCTCGTTAACTTCTCATCGAATAGGCCAAACGTTACTTTTAATATCCATGTGGATGTAAAACAATGAACTGTCACCAAGGCTATAGCTACGTTATTTATCAATGACTAGTAAACACTTTCCTGTCTAGCAGTTCTTCCCCGAGAAGTTGTGACTGCTCAGAAACGCGCGCCCCTGCTCTGAAGCGACTTTTCAAATGTGCTGCTCTCGTAAGTTTGTTTTAGACTCGCACCCGCTCCGTTTCTGTGACGCGCGCGCAGTTGGCTGGCCGGACGGACGCGCGCATGGTCTCTGCGTCCTGTTCCCCGGGGAGCGCAAGAGTGACAGAAGTGTTTCACTTTCATCTGGACCTGATTCATGTGTACTCTGTCCAATATCTTTAATAGTCTGTTTCTTTCATTTCGTTTGGCCAGGTTAACTTTTTTTAACTGTTTTTTTTTTTCTTTTTTCATTAAGATATTTTTAGCTTAGAGTCTTTGAAATTAGAAATCAAATCATTTCAAATTTGGTAAGTATATTTTTGGTTTTCATTTATTTATGTTTGAATTCACAGAATTATAAGTGTTTCGCTCAGTCGTTTGTAAAGCGGTGATCGTTATGAACGATTTAACCCCAAAACGTTATGTTTTGCTGTTAAATTCATGTGTCATGTTGTCGCCCTCTTCTGGCCATTGTTGTCTTTTGTATTTTCTAAAAAAGAGATGATATTTTTTATCTCTATGGGCTTAAATTGTCATCATCATTTTTACACATAGGCTTGCGTATATATAAAAAAAGAATGAATGTAATGAAATAAATTGAACAACTCATGAATTGCCATCAGAAGTGTGTTTAGCAAGTTCAGTGACTTTTATTACAGTCTGTACTATATTCAGTTTATTTGCCAGACTCATGTCCAAAAAACCACGCAAGACAAAATAACAAAAAAAAAATAACAAAAAAATAAAATAAATACAAGAATTAAAATACATACAGACATTTCAGCCAATGTACTCTAAGTCTGGATGTGAACCTGGAGCAGCTCACTAAGGGATTTGAGAGTGCCACCATGATACTGTTGGTAGACTCATCCAGACGTTGCATAAACTTAAACATCAAATTTCTTAAAAGTGCTTTCAGTGTGATTACTCCTACAGATACAAACATCTGACTAGCACTCCCTCCTCTAGGAACCTTGAGTAAAATTCTCATTGCATCATTGTAGGCAACTTTTAACTTCTGCATGCTGGATTTTTTATAAGACGACCACAGATGGGCAGTATAAAGTGGTGTACAGTAAGCTTTGAACAGAGCCACTTTTACCTGAGTATAGCAGTAACTCTACTGTTCACATCTGTACTGTTCAACAGATGCCCAGAATGGAAAAGTAAAATGAGAAGAAAAAAAAAGAATGAATGAAAATGAATTACTAGTTCAAGTGTTATTCAAGTGTTTATTATTCAATCAATTCTCCTTTTGACCAATTCTTTTCTGCATTGTTCAGCAGATACCCCCAATATGTCCATAGAAGACTTGGAAATGTTTGGTGCCAAAAAGGTGTAGCCTATCTTACGTTTTTTGCAAATTTTTTTTTTTTCATTTTAAAATGTTTTAGAACACCATTTCAAATGTTTGTGGGTTACCCATATTCTTCGAAATATAATCTTTTTTGTTCAGCGAAAGAAAGAAATTCATACAGGTTTGGGACAACTTGAGGGACCGGGTGAGTAAATTACAATATTAAAATTTTTGGGTGAACTATCCCTTTAAAGACCAGACGGAGTTGCCTATAATTGATTCCATTCTCACACTCGCTTGATGTTCATGCTGCCAAATATCATACATCACGTCATCTCTATATGAGTAATTAATATCGAGAATGTTTTAGACTAATTCTGGCCAGTTAGTACCCTATGTATTGGCCAATATTATATCGCTGCAAACGAAAACAGTTCTTCCAACAAATTATCAAGCTTTATGTGCCGCCAAGTAACGCATAGACTGAAGAGTGGAACGGTTTCCCCCTTCCTGCTCAAAGCGCTCTGTACTCACTTGGCTCCAGTCCAGCTCCACTTCGGCTTTTTCATTTCCCGCTCCCTGCACACTAGTAAGAGAAACCAGCTGCAAAGATATTCCGACTTTCAAAAAGATTCAGAAAACTCTGTTCTTCATTTGCTTCCACCCAGCATTGGAGAAATGATACAGTTGCCCTGCTTCTGAATCTCGGGCAATTACAGTTGAAAAAATATTTTATTTCATTTATTTATTTCACAACACAACATAGGACATGTACTTTAAATTACATTACATTTAAATACATATTTGTTTTTTATGTATTTACCCATTATTTATGACACCTTGTAAATGCGGAGTTTAAAAATTAAGTTTAGCCTATTGCTTATTGCATTTAAATTTGTATTTCCAATAGGCTCTGATAAGTCCTGAAGTTATTTTTGTTTTTCCCTATCAGTTCAGCCTAAAAACAACAAACAACTAAGAATACCCCTAATAGACAACATGGCTATGCGAAACAACATGGAGGGGAATCATGCACACCCCTTTATATCATCTTGCACCTGTCAAGATATAGACGCTCCCACTGATGGGAGCGCGAGCCTCATATACACACACCGAGTGGCTAGGCGCGCGCGGGTGCCGCCGGTATTCCCCTGTTGGTAGAATAAAGCCAGCGCGTGCTGTTACCGCCAGGGGATTGGAGCAATGACTTGTCAGTAAAGTCACCCACCCTTTGAGTATCTCAGACAGAGTTAGAAGTGTTTGAGACACAGAGCAAGGCGGCGAGACACCGGGATAACTGATTTAACCAGACCGGGACAGAACGACACTCAAGTCCCAGAGAGATGGAGGAGGAGATGCTACCAGCAGACGAAGGTCTCTCTGCGCCCAAAATCTGCAGGCAGCAGCAACAGAGGAGCCCGTACAGCTCCCTCAAGACCTTTCAGAGCAAGCGCGCGGCGGGCAAGGCGAGATATGACAGACCCACAATGGTGGACATCCCGCAGCTCGGAGAGCATCCTCATCACCTCAGTCATCATCAGCAGTATTCACAGCGGGCGCCGCTTCCTCAAGCTTGCTTCTCCATCAGTAGCAGTCAGCAGCACCGTCTCCCCTGCGAAGTCAGGCCCAGCAGCAGCAGAGTCGCGACATCCAGCGCGGCGGCATCAGCGGTGAGCGCCGCGGCATCATTCGGCAGCCAGAGGAGGGTCGCCGGCCAGGAGTCGGGCAGATACCCGGCGGGTCGCGCCGAGCTCAGCCACCAGTCTCCAGACTGCACCTATGGAATAAGCTCAGGTAAGTGAACAAGTTTGCCTAAGAAACTTTTATCCATGAATTCATCACGAAGCTGCAACTTTGAACAACCGAATGGGAAAGGGAAGTGTACATTTTCCTTAAAATGGCAATTATTTTTAAACGCATCTCACGCGAGTACATGGATATTTTGAGACCCACGCCCAAATTATGCGACTTATTCAAGCATTGTCAGCATGCTTAATTTCACATCAGTGAAAACAACACACGACTTAAAACAGTGGCTTAACAATTTCATAATACCCCTGCACTAACATGTTCTGTATCTTTCATAGCCTACACTTTGAGATGACATTTTGAGTCTTCTGTATATTTACCAAAATCTTGTTTTATGTCTTTATATCACCAACACAAGTGGTTGACACCTGCTTGGGTAATTCCTGATTTCAAAAATAGAGCATAATGAGTATGAAGAGTTGTTGAGTTTTACAATAAAATGTAAACACTGGTCTCATGATAATTGAGATGAGCTATAATAAACATGAAAGTCTCATCAAGTACTGTTAGATTTCTTTACATGCTGCATTAATATTCTCCCTGCATGCATTTGTGGAGTGTCTTGTTTTTCTCACCAACTTAATTGAGTTACCTAAACTTGTCAACTTCAGTAATTGTTTTTTTGTTGTTGTTGTTTTTCTCATGTGATTGTTGTTACCAGAAATTGTTTTCATTCATCAGAGCCTCAGGCCTGCTTCACAAATTGAGAAGTTGTCATTATCTTACAGCAGGGTGCCTCAGAGTCTGTGCAAACATTCAGCTGATCTATTTATCTCCACACAAGTTATTCAATTACATATGGAAAGGTTTAAGATCAACCGTGAACATTGTTTGTCTTTTAATGTAGTTTTTAACATGCATCGTGAAATTCACCTTGACATCAATAAAAGGGTTTCAGGCTGTTCGCTAAATATCAAAATGCACTTGTTGGAGACACAGTGTTTCCAATCCAGATCAGAGTTCATAGTATAAACAGTGTTTTCTAATTTCATACCAAGCCCTTTTGGTTTATTGTTATGGAATATCCACTGCGAAAATAATACATGGGGGATTTTTTTGGCCAATCAGACAATGCTAATGGTTTCGTCTTTCTAGCTCTGGGGAAAGGAGTCGTAGACACCCAAGGACACAGCTCTGAGATCAGTGCAATAATCCAAATTGCATTTAAAAGCTCCTCCAAAGGGATTGTGATTAAAACAAATGTGGCTCATAAATTTGGCTCTGCGGCACATGTTGTGTTTAATGAAATTTCATGAGGCTCACTCTGCATGGCATAACAGAGGAAGAAAGAGAGGGAGGGAGGGAGAGAGGGGTAGAGAAAGGGAAAAAAGGGAATGAGGGAGCGGGAAAGATAGAGGAGAATGATATCAAATCCATCTTGCTGGGGGTAAACAGAGATGCTGCGCATGTTAATAAATGGCCACATCTGCTTAAGCCTGATAGACACATCCAGGCGACGGCGGAGGCTGGAGCCCGTCAGTCATATACGGCTGCCACAGCGACTGCATGAGCTGATAATTGTCTGCCCTGTGTCTTTGTGTGACGGTGGCAAATTCATAATCATCCTCTTAAGATTCTGCATCTGGGCGCGGCCAGAAGGCTGTGGGGAGACAGAGTAATTGTATGCGGATGGATGGTTGGTCAGCATTTTTCTTTTATTAATCTCTCTGCTTCTTCTCATCATATTTAGAGGATTTGGAAGAAATGAACATAGTGTTTATAAGAACAGTGACACCATGTAAATGAGGTGTGTGTGTGTGCGTGCGCGCATATTCACAGCGTCCTTATCTTTATCGCCTAAATCTGTAGGCATGCAGAGCCTAGTTGCAGATTTAAAGATGAAAAATGATGGAAAGTGCAAATGAAGGACATAAATAAGATTAAATAGATCATGGATCATAAAGATACTGTGCAAGCACGCTGTGGTGATGTTAGGCTAAATTGTTTAATAAATGGTTTAGTAAATTAATAGATTATTAGTTAACTCTTTGTTGTGGAAAAAACAGAATAGTACAAAAAAATTGAGGAAGTAGCATTAAAAGGATATGATCATATTAATATTATTTTCCTTCTTCCTAAGAGCACCGAAGAAGAATATTAGCAGAATATATGAACATTTTGCCTTAAAAAAAACTGTGGTCAGCATTGTATAAAAGTTATGCTCTTCTTTTTTTCTTTAACGGATTTTATGCATGTTTTGAAATACACTACAGTTTCATTTAACGGTTAAACTATTTCTTTGAATATGGAAAATGAAAAGAAATCGGATGCTAACTTATGTGTCATTTCGATCTCTCCTCAGAAAACCGGCTCATATTGGATGCTTTTGCCCAGCAGTGCAGTCGAGTGCTCAGCCTCCTCAACAGCAACGGACGGCTCCTTGAGCCCCAGCCTTCCCTGGCCCGTCCATCCTCTTCCATCTCCACTCTCATAAAACAGGAGGACAGCTGCCTGTCTCCCGGAGAGAGGCTCGCTTCTAAGCCCAGGTCGGAGGACTCATCTCTGGAGAACCCAGGTGAGGAGACCCAACGGGGCAACCACTGGAACCAGCAGCAGACTTCCGCTTTCCTCCGGATTTTCACAGAGTCGCTTCAGAACTACCTTCTATCCGGACCCCAGTCATCGGACAGTGAACGGGGTCGTGCAGTAGACGCTGAGCCGGTAGCATCAGGGTCCCCCAGGCAGAACATAGGTGGCTGGACTTCACCAGCACCGTCAGAGTCCTACGGACACCCTTCATCCACACTGCCCGAGGAAGACGAGGAGGAGGAAAGTTGTTGTCCACGCTGTATGGAGCTGGAACAGGAAGTTCTTAGTCTACAGCAGGACAATGAGGAACTGAGACACAAACTGGACAACATACCAGGTATTAAACTTTATTTGATGGTTTAGTTTTATTTCAGTCCTGATATTAGACACAGAATCCACTACAAGATTTGATATTTATAATAGTTTTGTAAAAATATTCACTATATTATTACTACTGTCCTAAGCTACTTTTAAAAGTGCATAATGTAACATGCTAAATATTTATTGCATTTGTTGGAGACAGTAGATCCTGATTACACGAATTTGTAATGAGAATAGTTTATAAATCTGTTGTCAACAAAAGAGAAGCTTTAAAGGAGAACTCCGGCGCAAAATGAACCTTTGGTCTAATTACACATTGTTACCTAGTCAACCGTTATCTGAGATTTGTTTTCATGATTATCGAATGTAAATAGTTTTATCTCTAAAAACAGTTTAGCCTATAAAGCTAGTATAACGCTAGTATATTGGGCATAGATCAATGACAAATAAAAATCGCTTGTTAATACCATTCACAAGGCTCAAAATAGCCCCACACTAACACGGTAGCATAATGAGGCTCCCTACCTTCAAACCGAAGCATTGAGAACTTTGTCAGTGTCCAGACAGTTTAATAAGAAGATATTTTAAACATACAGTCAACTTCGCGTATACAGGCACAAGCCATCTTTGAAATACAGCCTTTACCAGTCGATCTACGAACAATGTATTCGGCGTTCGTAGATTGACTGGTAGAGACTGTATTTCAAAGATGGCTCCTGCCTGTATACGCGAAGTTGACTGTATGTATTAAATATCTTCTTATTAAACTGTCTGGACACTGACAAAGTTCTCAATGCTTCGGTTTGCATGTAGGGAGCCTCATTATGCTACCGTGTTAGTGTGGGGCTATTTTGAGCCTTGTTAGTGGTATTAACAAGCGATTTTTATTTGTCATTGATCTATGCCCAATATACTAGCGTTATACTAGCTTTATAGGCTAAACTGTTTTTAGAGATAAAACTATTTACATTCGATAATCATGAAAACAAATCTCAGATAACGGTTGACTAGGTAACAATGTGTAATTAGACCAAAGGTTCATTTTGCGCCGGAGTTCTCCTTTAAGGTCTCCCAGCTTTTCTTTTTTCTTTTTTTTTCTTTTTTGCCAAAATAAAGTTTTAGCAAAAAAAAAGTTTAACGTTTAGTTTAACGTTTGAAACCAAAGAAATCAAGACAGTCATAAATAATGTTCTGTAAAATACAAGTATTATTATTATTAAATATTTTCCTTTTAATTTTACATTACAATAGTATAATTGCAACAGATGGCAACTATATTCCCTTAATTATTACATTTTTATAATTTAAATAATAACAATAATAAAATAAACATTTTTATTATTTTAGTCATATTAAATGGAGGAACACATGTTTTCCTTTTTTGTTCTTAGCTGTTTACATACCTGGCTTTAACAATGGAAAAATCTTCAGTTTTGGATGCCATTGTAAAAATACCCTTTTCACAATATATTATTTGTCACCTGATTCATTTATTTCACTACTGAAAGTGTCCAAAAAGGGTTTTCGAGACAATGATGTACTCTCATAATTTCCACTATGAAGGGGGAAACCCCAGCCTTTTCTAAGCCACGGATAGTATCAAAATGCATTGCATTCATTAATTTCATAGTTGAACTATTTATTTCATTAGGTACAAAACTTTAATTGAAAAAAATTACACATTGCACCTTTAACAGTTCATTGTATTTATCTTATGTGCAACAGCTCAGCTTGGTTGGTTTAAATGAAACTAAATGTTCATCAACCAACATTTTTTTTTGCTGGTTTTGCCTTCAACAGCTCCTTGCCAGAATGTTTTGGACTTTTTTAAGACTGTTCTTCAGCACTACAACCAATTTGTGCAGCCCCAGTCCGAAGAGCAGCTTACCGAGGTGAGCCTGACAGAAAATTAAAATAGTCTGTAAAAAATAGTCCGAGAAACCACAGTGACACAAGTTTATGAAAGACACTGTTACCGTGGAACATGAACTGAAACTGTCATTCAAATTAAGGTCTAATCTGGGGTTATGAAAATATCACTTTGACCGACTGTTACATAAAACTAAAAGCAACAGAATCTTTTAGTATTCCAGTAAAGTTTCAATTCTTTATATTGAATTTGCTTGTTTTTTAGGTACAATATTTACTGCAGTGTCTTGTTTAAATGTTGATGCATTAAAGCGCATTAAAGATTAAAAACAGCATTAAAGAATTTTTCCCCTCTGCAATCTATAATCTTATAATCTCTGTCTTTTCTAAATAGGGCAGTAAACAGCTTCTGGGGAACTATCCTCTCTTCATCACCAATAAGCAGTGGGACGAGGCAGTCAACTCCTCAAAAAAAGATGGCCGGCGGCTCCTGCGTTACCTTATCCGGTTTGTGTTCACCACAGATGAGCTGAAATACTCGTGCGGTCTGGGGAAGAGGAAACGTTCGGTACACACAGGGGATACGGGACCGGAGAGACGGCCTCTTAACCCCGTCAAGGTCACTTGTCTCAGAGGTAGTGAGCTAAAGGAATTTTTAGAGTGTGTTCACACTTGGCAGGTTTGGTCGGATTAAAACAAACTCTGGTGCGATTGCTCTGTTAGCACGGTTCATTTGATTAAGTGTGAACGCTGTCATCCGAACATTGGTGTGCACCAAACAAGCTGAAAACGTGGGTCTCGGTCGGCTTCGTTGGGGTTTGACTGAAATATGAACACAACACAGACCAAAAACACCTAAATGAACCAAAAACTGGATGTGATGTCACACGATGTGACCCTTAAAGCTCAAGCATATACCTGTTTATTCATGTCATAGTCACGATGTTGCCCATTACAGTTGGAAGTTGGAACCACGTCGTCTTTCAGCAGATCCTTGCTTGTGTGTGTAATGGAGGAATTCCTACCGCTGTTTTGACACCTTTACACATTTATAAGATGTTCGTGAGTTCTCAGCTGGTAAAAATAGCATCATATTTGTGCACATACAATGAGTGCATTTAGCCCAGATCACAGCATTGAATAGGATGTTCTGTAGCAACATATACATCATGACAGCAGGGTTTTTTGTTTTGTTTGTATCTTTAGGTTCGGTGTTTAAAGGAACACTCCGACTTTTTGGGACTTTAGCCTATTCACCTTATCCCCCAGAGTTAGATAAGTCCATACATACCTTTTTCATCTCTGTGCGTGCTGTAACTCTATCTGACACACCCACCGCTAGCCTGTACAAAAAACAAAGTCACATGAGACACAGACATATTTTAACCGTATAAATACTGGGAACTATATTCTCTGAAGGCGAAGCACTGCTACTTGGGCGGAGTGATAACCGCAGCACCTGAGACTCGCTCTCTGCTCCTCACCACGGCGCGTCTCAGGTGCTGCGGTTATCACTCCGCCCAAGTAGCAGTGCTTCGCCTTCAGAGAATATAGTTCCCAGTATTTATACGGTTAAAATATGTCTGTGTCTCATGTGACTTTGTTTTTTGTACACTATGTGACTATACAAATCACAACATGTAAATAGAAAAATGTTTGCGTTATTTTGTCACTTATTTGGATTAGTATGCTAGCTGCAACCATTTACATCCAGTCTTTGTGCTAAGCTAGGCTAGCGGTGGGTGCGTCAAACAGACTTATAGCACGCACGGAGATGAAAAAGGTATGTATAGACTTATCTAACTCTGGGGGATAAGGTGAATAGGCTAAAGTCCCAAAAAGTAGGAGTGTTCCTTTAAAATGACAGTGTGAATGCTAAGCGAACCAGGACTTAATGTACAATGTTCTTTTTTTGGTCCGGACCAAAAAGAACCAAGAGAACCGAACTACAAGTGTGAACACACCCTTACACTTTTTTAATTTTAGTATTTGGGAGGCATTTATTTGAATCAGATTATCAGTGCGATAATTATTCAAACTTAATTTTAAAATCTCACATGTTCTGTCTATCTCTCTCATCCATCTCTGTCCCGCGGCGTTCCCTCTCTCAGAGTTTATCCGGATGCACTGTGCTTCTAATCCTGACTGGTGGATGCCCTCTGAGGAGCAGATAAACAAAGTCTTCAGTGATGCAGTGGGGCACGCGCGGCAGGGCCGTGCTGTGGGCACTTTCCTGGGCAACGGGGGCAGCGGGAGCAGCAGCAGTGGTAGTTTATACATGGAGAGCTATGACGGGCAGCTCTCTCAGGATGATCTCTATCTTAAGGGCACACAGAATGGCCTGGGGGACTAAAGAAGAGACATACATCCAATGTTTTCAGCACTCAAATCGTGGATCAAGGTGAGGAGTGAGCCCTACTGTCAGTCCGGATCAGCTCACACAGAGAATGCAGCACTTACATGATGTTAACGGGGGTTTTGGATGAATATAATCCTTATTTCTTCCTGTCAATACATTCCAGAGAGTTCACACCTACCCGGTGAATTATGTGGGATTCTTCCATGCTTTGTTGTAGAACTCTGTGTTAAATGGTTAGTAGTCACTAGGCAGAGTTGGTTGAATTCTTCAAAATATCAGGTTTGTTATTTACTCCTTTTCCAAATTCGTTCCATTGAATGTGATTAAGAATATGATCCACTATAGCAACATGAATGTATCCGTTTCACTCCATTCTTGTGTCAGATTGGTCAGAAGTTCATAAAGACGGCCTATAAATGAGGTGCTATTATGATGTTCTGTTATTCTGTCTGATAAGGTTGAATTTAAAGTACTGCCCCCTATTTTATCATCATGTGATGTTGAATAATCTGTGATGTTTATAAAAAAACTGTGATGTTGCAAAAATCAGTTTCTTAGTGGCTGCAGGATGAAATTACTCAATTTGTCCGCATCGGTGACTGCAGATACACTAATCTGTCATAGGCTTTTATTTGTTGTTTGGCTTCCTTATCTTTCCTTTGACTTTAAAGGTCCAACAAGGAGGCAATGCTGTTTGTAATTTGTGTTGCTGCTAGTTCGTCAAGCGCCACAAAGATCAACCCGACATAATTTATTTTACCACACTATAATGTTCTGTGTGACTGCATAGAAACTACATGAAATGCCTTAAAAAGAGACACCATCTACCACTAAGAACTACAAATACTGCCAATTCAGACTGTTGATAATCTCTTGGTGTTCATGTTACATTAGTGGCCTCTGGCTGTTTGGGTTTTCAAACAAAAGAAAAATGGGTTTGAAAACAGACCATCTTTCTTTAATGCCTTAGACAAAGTTTCTGTCTGTGAAAATGTTGATACATCCAGGTCATTGTGTAATGTCTGGTAGAATTCAGTCACATGTCATTTAACTACATTTTGAATTCATTCTCCATGGCACTTCATCAGATATCAGATGGTTGGAAATCCCCAGCATTTAAACCTGTTCACACAACATCAAAACTCGTGAACATTGAGGGAGTTTCTTATCTGAAGATCTGTGGTCTTGTTCATCTGCTACTAATGGCTACTGAATCACAGTACACGTTCACATCTTCATGTTCATGTTTCATCTTCATGCCAGCGACTCACAAACATTAAGTGGTATAAAGTCTTCAAAATATGTTACTACCAAGTTGCTGTTGCCTTTGACTACCAGACATACAAAAGCTTCTGTTGTTGTGAAATGTAGCCTGTTGTGATTGTACAAATCCATGGTGATTGGAAATTGTTAGTCTTCTAGTCTATTCAAAGAACGTGTCAACACTGTGAACCCCACCAAAAGTGATGAGACTGTTTCTCCCCCTACTTATTAATGATATTTTCTTTTCAAACAGATGCATTTATGTAATGTGAACAAAAATGAAAAAAAGACAATGAAACAAAAAAACTGATTCAGACAATGCCATCTGTGTTGTTATTCAATAGTAGCTACTCTTAATTCCAGAAATTGAACAATAGATGGCAGTAGACAACAATAAAGCCATTGCAACATTTCTTTGTGAAACCAATTCAAAGGCTGTCAAATTCACTCCAGTGTGGATAATTGCAGATGTCTGCGGGATGAGCATGCGCACAATTTATCAAATCATTCAGAAGATGTAGCGTATTATTCATGATAAAAAAAAGATTGCAAAATAAGGTTCAAAATGAAAAGTGCCTATAAAACCAGCCAGATGACAAGATAGACCAGATAAGAGAAAGCAAACCATTTTATGCTGGTTTAAACTCGTTGTTTTGAACACGTTTTATTCAGCATCCACTGTTTGTAAATTAAATCCAGTTATCTTTTCAGCTAGTATGTTTTGTAATGCAGGCATTTCCAGGCATTGCGTAATATGTGGCTGAAACGAGATTTCGTTCTGCCAGGGGGAAAAAATTTGGGACAGTTCAGTGGAGATAGCATCAAACCCCACCCCTACACTGACCCATCATCACTGTCCTGCACAAGTTATGTACAAAAGTAGTATGTCCAAATTCACAGTATACTCATAAAAGTACCCGGATGACCTGTACTACTTTCAGCGAGATTCTGAAGTGTGCATTAGATGGACACTATCCCATGAGGCCACTGGAGGATTTGTGAATTGCAGTGAAGTCCAACTGCTCTGGTAGGTCACATGATAATGACAACATGGTGAATGTACGTCCAGATTACATTCATACTACACACATTAAAGGTATTGTAGGTAGGAATTTTATTTAAAAAAACTTTTTCCAAATTTGTTTAAACTTGCTGTATATATCAATGCATAATTAAAATGTAAGTACTCTGAAAAAGAAAGTATAAAAATCGAGTGTCTGTAGACCTCTCACGACTGTTTTAAAGACAGCTCATTATTTCCATTCACTCCACCCCCTCCCTTCTGGGCTTCTTCCAAAGCCACGCCCCAAAAACACATGAACGCGCGACTCCGACCGCTGAGCTGAAGACAAGACATTATTTACCGGAAAGGAAGGAGCGCAGTGCATGTAGTGACATCATGTCACATGTAATAAAAAAATCTAACTTTATCATTATGAAGATAAACAAATAAGATGTATTTTAGTACTCACTATCAAGCTAGCATATTGATATTGGTAAAGTTTAAAATATATATTTATTGATTCGCTAAAACAGGTTGCATGATACACGTTTTTCCATTGCCATCATTTACACTGTGATGAAGATGAATTTCGTGTAACATTCATAACATATATGGTGTTCGAGGACAGATCTGGGGTCGAGGGCGAAGCAGAGGAGGTCGTCACAAGGCGTCACTTTTCAGCCCCTTGAGGTCTCTCAGTTCTCGCCATCGCTGGAAAGCCACACCGATATTGACACGCATTTTATTTCGTTGTTTATCCAAAGACTTTTTGTTCATTACCTTTTAACGTTACTGTCTTCCTTTTTTTGCCTGGTTTGCCTTCGCGAACTGCATATGTGAATTTTGATTGGTCTTTCTCTGCCATTGTTTTGCTATTCCTAGGTTCCGTGCCTCTTGAATTTCTCAAATTAAACGGATACGCGCAAGTGGGCAGGTCCTGTGTGGCAAAAGGGTGGTTGCCATGGTTGCGAGAGAGTGACAGTCGCCTAAGCCAATCCTTTGTTTCGTCCCGGATGGAAATAATGAGCTGTGTTTAGTGGAGGTTAAACGGTCTAGAGTCACTCGATTTTTACACTCTTTTTATCAGAGTACTTACATTTTAATAATGCATTGATATATACAGAAAGTTTAAACACATTTGGAAAAAAGGTTTTTATAAAATTCCTACCTACAATACCTTTAATACTATATAGAAAACATTTTTAGTAGTCGTGAAGTTAATAATTAAACATGAGTACCTACTTGAGAGTATATGCGATTTCAGATGCAGCCAGTCATTCAGATTCTTATTCGTTCAGTGATATTTTTACGGTGGCCGAGACAGCTCAACGCGCTGCAACTGAAGCAAACACATGCAAATAGAGAAAAACGTGTGCAAATAGAAAAAAACGCATGCAAATAGAAAAAAACACATGCAAATAGAAAAACACGCGTGCAAATAGAAAAAAACACCAGCAAATTAAAAAAAAAAACATCTTCATCAGTTTCACAACACACGTGTGCTCCAAATAAGGAAACGCGCTGCAAAAGTTCACAACACAACCAAATACAGAAAACGCGCTGCAAATAACACAGACCACAACGGAAATGTTTCCAGGGGAACCAAATAAGTGACGAACCCGGCTGAGACGTGCTTATTGCTCGTGAGCTTCCCTATGCCATACTCCCTTCGAAGGGCAGATTGCAGAGCCCTTTTGGAGTGAGCGAGGCTCTAGTGTGCTGTTAGGCAGCCGTGTGGAACGCACTTGATGAAGGGAGCAACTAAAGACAACGTGGGATGTTCCCATGACAACGCAGCACGGTTTCCATCAGCTGGTCTTACGACAGAAATATGATGCTGTTAACATAACGGATGCAAATACATTTTTATTTTTAGTTTACAAAAAAAGCTTTTAAAATATGCGTTATATATCTGTGTCTTAACTTTAAAATTTTGGACCCTACATTACCTAACATTTCTTACGAAACTTTTCTTTATGAAAATGTAATAACATGAAACAATTTGTACAGTGTAACTGATGTATAGATAAATATCTTTCCTTCATGTTTTTCTTCTTTATCTTTTTTATTTATTTATTTTAGTTTCCAGCTCATTGTTCTTTTCTCATTTGTATTCTGATGACATTGAACATATTGTTAATACATTTTGTACATTGTATACAAGTTGTATGTCATAAAAAATGTAATCTCTGTATGTTTTGCACAAACAAATAAATAAAGTATAAGTTTAAGCTGTAAGCACCAGCACGCATAGATTTATGGATATCTATGCCGGCACCATAGGCCGGCACGTCCCAGCCGGGTTCGTCACTTATTTGGTTCCCCTGGAAACATTTCCGTTGTGCTCTGTGTTATTTGCAGCGCGTTTATGTATTTGGTGGTGTTGTGAGTATTTGGAGCACACGTCTGTTGTGAAACTGATGAAGATGTTTTCTTAATTTGCAGGTGTTTTTTTTATTTGCACGCGTTTTTTCTATTTGCATGCGTTTTTTTCTATTTGCATGTTTTATTTTATTTGCATGTGTTTTTTTCTATTTGCACGCGTTGTTTTCTATTTGCATGTGTTTTCTTCAGTTGCAGCGCGTTGAGCTCTCTCGGCCACCGTATATTTTTCATCATTATGCCAGACATCGCAAGTCATTGTATCATTCACCCATTCGATTTGCTCTAAGCACAGTCTACCGGAAAATGTCATCTCCTTTATTAAAATTTATGTGCATCTAGAAAGTGTTCAAGCGCTGTTCAGATTTCATTAATATTCCCAGGCAGTTCATTCAATTCGTTCATGAAATATGCCTCTATCCTTATATCACCAATCTCATCAGACCTTGATAAAATATCTGCACAATGCAAGCAGCCGCAAGTAGCCTACCCCAGAGTGCAGGTTACTCAGCGGCCGTTCCCCAGGCGTTTTCAAACCGATAGCGATGGGCGTTTTTCAACCGCTTTACTCAATTTGCTCTAACCCACGTAGAGTAAGGTTTAGAGGTGGGGTTCGAGATGAACCTTCATGAGTTTAGCAAATCGAGTAAAGCTGTTAAAAACGCCAGTTGTATTAAAAAGCCCACTGATTTGGAAAACGAAGACACCTGAACCTACTCAAACCTGCGACTCGTTTAGGGAAGGGGCGTATTCAGTGTCCAAGCAATGAGATGCTCCTTTGCAAGATCCATGAAGTGAACGAGTTAAGAGAATAAAAAAATAAAAGATTTGTTCAAATAACCGACTCGCTCAGGATTCATTCAAAACTCTTGCACGAAAGAAACGCCACATTGGAGCTGCTTCAGCGTTTCTCAGAACGTTTTCTCACATTCTGGCGTGCTCTCTGATTCCAAGTCAAGGTAGAGCTCAAACTAGTGATCTCTGCCAGATTATTCATTGTGTTCTAAAATGAACCATTCCACGACGGATTTGAGCTGCCTTTCTCTTTAATTCTGCTGGACACTTTATTGCGGAGCCCCCACAAAATGTTGGAGGGCGGGCCGCGCAGCAGCAGCGCAGTGAGTTGTCAAAATCTTGTGGCGGTGACGCCGAGGGTCCACAACGCCCACTAAAGTAAATTGGTGTGGTTTGCCTCGCGAGGGATTATATAGGCTATTTATTATCATCAGCGTTGCGATTGTGGTCGTCTTTTTGAATTGAGCTGAATGATAATGCAGCGATTTCTCTTTCTGCAACTTCGGGCGGCGGACAGGCGCAAGGGCGCGAGCAGTGCATAGTTATCCAATGCGCAAGTGTCATTCTGTTGGATTAGCCCAAACAACTGCGTCTCCAACTGCACCGGGATGCCTCTTATCAGCCTGGACGACGATGATCAGAGATGGGTCCCGACGCATGTCAACGTGACCGTGCTTCGCGCGAGGGGTCTGCGGTCGAAGGGCAAGCAAGGCAGCCGCTATGTTTACACTATCATCCAGGTCGGCAAGGAGAAGTACACCACCGGCCTGGTGGAGAAGGCTGAGGAGCCGCAGTGGAACGAGGAGTGCTCGTTTGAGCTCCAGCCCGGGCTGCTGGAGGCGGGTGGGACGAGCGCGTACCCGCCCGGGAGCAGCAACCTGGTGCTCACCGTGATGCATAGAGTGCTGATCGGGCTGGACGTGTTTCTCGGACAAACTATTGTTCCTCTCGACAAAGTTTTCCAGGAAGGAATGTGTCCTAGAAATGAGTGAGTAGAGCTAATAATAGGATCAATTAATGGGCCTTTGGTCGAGGGCCTCTTAAGACTTTTGTACTGTGTCAGTACCATGGTACAGTGGCATCAGTTACCATAGTACGCATGATTACTATATTCACGTGCCAAGGCATTTACACGATATTCCAATGTACATGGTTTGCTCGTCTTAGCTGGTTTGAGTTGGTCTTTCCCAGTGCTCAAGAGTATCAAGAACCCTATTAAAATGTACATTTTAAACATTCCAAATTTGTTATATACTAAAATAACTAAACTTAAAGCTGAAATAAAAATGAATAAAAAAAATATATATATAATATATATATGATAAAAATGGAATAAAATTTAAATGGAAGTGGGAAACATAAAAATGAATGCAAAATATTGATAAAAACAATAATAGTATCTCAATGATACTATAATTACACCGATTATTGGGTACATGTTAAAATAAACATGCCATTTTTAGTGTTGTTTTACTGTTTCTCCATTCCCACATGACAGCATGAAAGAGCGATTGTAAAGAAACAAAGTGTAGCCTTAAGTTCTATCTTTATGGTTATTATAGCCTTACAAGTTCATGTAATTGAATGTACTTTTAAAGCATAGGAGCTTTCCTTGTTTTCCAGTTGATATAGTCCTGGGATATTTGACACAGTCATGCCAAAACCGTGAGCCTGTGATTTTGGATGGAAGAATTTCTGTGCACCCATTTCCCAGTTGGACAGACATTTGCATTTGCAACACAACAAAACTGCAGTAAGATCCTTTGGCCTGCCACCAAAACTTAACCTAAATTACTGATGTCACATGCAATATTAAACGCATGCATGGTGGTCAAAGCCACACAAGCAATCTATGGGAAGTGCAAAACCAACACTGTTTTGAATTCCAGAGTAATGGGATATGTTTTTACAGACACAACAACAGCAACATACTTGGAGGGGCATGCTGCGTCTAGTCCTCATCAGTACTGGCACAGAGTCATGCCTGCACACAGGGTAGTACCAGTGTGTGTCAGAATGGAGTCCGACTGAAGCTCAACAAACATGCATTTCACTGCAGTCCAACATAGACGTAACCTTTCTGGAATCTTGGTCATCAATGTTCATTTTATTTGAATATCTTGTTTAGAAGCGTCCACATCTAATGCAGATGAAGTTTAACTACATGTCTAGCAGTGTCATCATTAGGAGTAAATCATTTGTCATGGGAGAGGAGGAAGAGAGGTAGGTGGGGGCCGCTTGGCTAAAACTCTATAAACAAGAGAGGGAGGAAGTCACTGAGCCATGCTGAACAACAATAACATTGTTATTTTCATATTCGATGCATATTCTTTATCCTCACGTCCACCATTCAACTCTCAAATTCACACAATGTGCAACTAACTAACAAAATTGATTTAATTAAAAAAACACCATCAAGATGTTAGTACGTACCAAATTGTAATTGAATTTAAGTTTATAATATAGGCCTAATTATTATATTGATTAGTATATTTGTTTCTTATCAGTATAAGCATGTTACTGGTTTTAATAGTTCCAGATCTGCAAAGGTGTTGGAAGAAAATTAAAATAACAATTTGATTTCTTTTTTTTTCTTTCTTTTTTTTAGCCTTGTCCTTGCAACCATTTACAACAGTGGATCTCATCTTCGGGGGCCACAGGATGACTTGAAAGTATTTAAATGAGCTATTATTAATATAGGATAACAATCTAACTATAATCTAAATCAGGTTCTCAACTCTAGTTTGATCAAGAATCTTGATTAAACTCACCTGCCTTCAACTTTCTTAAAGATCTTCTACTGCAACCACCTTGAACATCACATTGCTAAGGTCAGGTGGCTGGATTTGTCTAGTAACAGCATAGCAAATGAATTCGTCATGTCAACATTCAATATTTATCTTGACAAACTTTCATTTTCTAGTTACTGTTTGCACTGCCATGTAGGCCTCAGCATTTCAGGTCATATGGATGGAGATGTATGGAAATGTCCATCTCTACACACACACACTATTCTGAATCTGAATCATCACATGTCATTGTAGGCGTGAGGCTGTTCTGCGCATCTGGATTTAATTGAGCTCGGAGTTGCACCTCTTTCCCCCTCTCTTTCTCTCTCTTCTGCCGTCTCCCGGTTTAAGGCGTTTGTCTTGGCTCTCTGCACGTGTGCGCACATGAGGTGCTCTGTGGTGTACCGGAAATGGAGGAAATAGTTTCACCACTGGTTCTCTGTGAGACAAAGGGACGGCGCTATCCTAATGCAGTAACATTCGTTCAAGAGGCCCCCGCTTGTGTTTGCACTCCTGTATAGGTCATAGCAGTTTGCTTCAGTGTGGTGCAGGAAATTGTAAGCTGATGTTATAAAAGATGAGGCCATCAGTGAGACCATCATTTTAAGTGTAAAAGTTCAGCCCAAAATTGTTGTTTTTTTACCTCTAAAATTAATAGACAAACACTGTTCAAAGATTTGGGGTCAGTAAGATTTTTAAAATGTTTTTGAAAGAAGTCTCTTATGCTCACCAAGGCTGCTTTTATTTCATCACAATATTACTGGTTTTACTGTATTTTTTAAAGTATTATTTCAATTTTAAATAACTTTTTTTTAAATAACTTTTGTAATATATTTTAATAATGTCACGTCATTAAAATAATGTCGCAAATCATACAATTTAAAATTATTTTAATTTGGGGGGGTGCTGGGTGCAATATAATCTGCATATGTTCTTGACCGTCTTCATGAGATTCATGTTTATGTTTATCACAACCATTAAAAGAAAGGTAGGGATGCACCAAAATTAAAATTCTCTCCGATATTGATTTTCATCTAATGATCAATAACTGATAAATTACCAGTATTACAATTCTATAATATTTGTCTAAATAAATGATACTACAAGTTAATTTATTTATCACAGCATTAAAATGTACAATATGAAAATTAGATATTCATTTTGACATTTGCTTGAGATACTTATTAAAGTGTTTTTAAACATTAAATTTAAGTGCGCATTAGATAATATAAATTAGCTTTTAGATGATTTTCTTTTTTTCTTCTATGCTTAAGGTGGTTCAAGCTGCACTCCAAGGCTGGTCGAAAGGAGAAGGAGCGAGGAGAGCTGCAGGTCACCATCCAGTTCACCCGCAACAATATGACCGCTAGTATGTACGACTTGACCGTAAAGGACAAGCCTCGTTCTGCATTTGGGAAACTGAAGGACCGCGTCACAGGAAAAAAGCGAGGAGATTTGGAGTCCTCCTCTGCCATTTTACCCGGCCGCTACGCCGCCATATCAGGGTCTGTAGGTCCTCCGTTTGCAGGAGACGGTGGACCCGATGATCCAGGCGAGGAAGAGGTGCTCGATGAACACCGAAGCAAGGTGAAAGACTTCTTCTTTAAAGGGAAACTACGCAAGAATTCAGACACACGCTCCTGTTCATCATTGGCTTCGGACAGTAGCATGGCATCGTCCGCTGGGGATCCATTCGTCCCAGTAGAGCTTTCCAGAACACCTGTCTACAGCAGCAGAGTGATGGAGCCCTTCCGTATGGACACTGAAGCAGGGATAAAAGGTCAGCCAGCTATAAGAATATATAAACAGAATTCATTATCATAATTATTATTGATCATTTATTATTGATAATTTACACAATCTGGGCTCCATATACAGTAGTTTATGATAATTTACTCACCCTCATGTCATTCCAAACTTATATTATTTTCTTTATTCCATGGATCAAAAAGGAGGATATTTTAAAGAATGTGTTTTGCACATGCAATTAAAGTCAATGGGGTTCAAAACTACACTTGACAGCATTTACTTTCATTGTGTGGACGAAGCAATTTTTTTTATATTTTCTTTTGTGTTTTACAGATGAAATAAATTTGGAACGACATGGGGGTGAGTAAATTAAGACAGAATTTTCCTTTTGGGGTGAACTATCCCTTTGAGACATCTTTCAAACACTCCTCAAATGTCTGGTCGACACCTACCGATCTAAATTCTGTGATTTGTGTCTTTTAAAGTGATGACCCACAAGCGTGCACACAGCGATGAAGCCAGTAAGATCACGGGTGTTCCTCATCTTATCCCTGCTGTGGAAAACCTAAAAGGTCAGAGCATGGCGCTCTCCAAATCAACCCTCTGCATCAACGGTAGCCATATCTACTCATCCGAGCCTGCCAGCCCTAAGAGTCCAAGCACCATCCCGGCCAAGCTCTCCCTGCTGGAGAAATGCGCACCCCTTTCTCGCTCTCTCCAGAACCTGACCCGACGTGGCGAGGACTCGCAGAAGAGCGATGGGAGACGCTGGTCCATTGAAAAGACCAAGAAGGAGGACGGGGAGATGGATGGAGCTCAGAGTCAGACCCAAGGTGCCGCCACTCCAGATGGGAAGCCAGTGCAGGCCGCTGGACCCGTGGAAGTGGTGGATAAAGGGAAAAAGCTGAGGAAAACTCTGTTTTCTAGCGGGAGGAGTGACTCTCTCCCAGCCAAGCCGGAGCAGAGCCAGGTTTCTGCTCCTCTTGAGGGCAGACGCAGAGGATGGTTTGGCTCCGGTGACTCGCAGAACAAGCCAAGGTGAGTGAAAGCACGGCTACTTGGTTTTATGTTACAGTACAAAAGATGTCTGACTTTGCACACGTATCAATATCATCAATAGCCGCTCACCATGATCTGTATTTGACTGTCAGGCGTTCTTCAAAAGGGATACTTTGTTTTTAAGGGAATGGCTTTGAATGTCAGCCTGCATTTTGGTCCTCAGAGAATATTCTTAGAAAAAAGAGCTATTTGAATTTGCTGATGCAACAGTTACTGCAGGAGCTTTTTCCATTTCATTCCTTTATATTGCTCTTGGTTTGCAGAACATAGGTCAAGACATTTTTCAAAGAAGGGCTTGTTAATGTGTGTTTTCATCCAAAAAAATTCCACAAATTTGTGTAAGCATTCAAAATCATCAGCTATTTTCTTTATTGTTTTAAAGAAATGTCCACTTATATTAAATTGATTTTATTTTTATTTCACCTTTCAGTAATTTCATCTTTTTGTTCAGCAGCATGTTTTTTTCAACACATCAAATCATTTTCTTATAGTTCACACCCGTTTTATTTTCATTAGAGTTAGGGGTGGGTGTTATGACACATCTTATATCACAACAGGAGTAATTTTATTTCACAATAACAATGTCTCAATATATAGTTATTTTTCCTGGAAGAAAGGTTGTTACGAAAATATTAAACTAATACACAATACTTGTCTAACTAATATAAGTCAATAGTTCTCAAGATTGCTGAAGACAAGTAAACAGTAATAAAATAAGAGCTAAGAAAAACTAACAAATAACTACAGTAGGAGAAAGCTACACATGATATTATAAACAGTGCTTTTTTAGGTTCAGGTAGGTCTTTATTCAGTTTATGTATTTCTTACTTCTATTAGAAAGTCATCAAATGTGAAATAAAACACTGCATAGTCTTCACAGTATAAATTAAACGTATACTGATTCTTATTAAATCAAAAAATTATTCAGTCAAGAGCAGTGAGTGATTTTCTTTTTCTTTTGTTATTTGGCTAACATTAAGGACACATACAGCAGCAAGTGTATTACAGTAGGCTGTAAGAGCTTTAAGACCTATACACATTGGATTTTCTCCCAACTGTTTATGTTTGCTTAGGACACAACCAGCTGTTTACCCAAATACTCATCAAGACAGTCATTCATTTTGACATAACTTTAAGCACAATAAACCACGAAAAAGTTCTGAATTCATTACTTATGCTGTGTGACAGATGGCTTTATGTGTGCGCGCTTCTGATCTGTGCACAGAAAACCGTCTGTCAAAACACAAATACCGATTTGAATTATATGTCGCATCTTATTGCGATTTAAATGGTTTAAAATCGTTATGATGCAACATCGAATGAGCGATAGGGATAAGCCAAAATTTGGTTATTGATTAAATCAGCCACCCCTAATTAAAGATTTTAGGATGAAAAAAAAACACCTTTTCCCACCCCTTTTGCTCTTTTTCAATTGTTCAAGCTAAACCAAAAGTATTTATGTAGGAACACAGTTTGCAAGCTGGTCAAAACATGCCAGACACTTCCGGAACAAAACATGAACGAATTTGAACTGTCCAAAGACAGTTTTTCTTCTATTAACAGGTGTCTCTGTAATAGAGAAGAACTGTCTCTCTCCCCTCACCCATAGTTAGATGATATGGCCCATTACACAATATAACTAAGAGGACTACTTGTGCCTTCCCTCCACAGGCTGGGAGTCTCTCCTAAGGTAGAGAGCAGCTCAGACACCCCCTGTCAGATCCCTTGCTCCCCCAGTCAGCCCCCATGCTCTCTTCCCCTCAGTTGCACTACTGGCTTGGTGTCTCCCCCTAGTGGCAATCACACCAACCCATTCACCCACTCTTCCCCAACACCCCCTTCCATCTCTCCCTCCAACCCTTTCCTCACACGACTACAGCAAAACCCTTTTTTTGAGGATCTTATAGCCGAGGAAGCACTGATGTCTCCGACTGCTGGTTACTGTTCTCTAAATTCCAGTCTTTATCATTATCCAGTCGGATCCAGTCCCCTCCGTAATGGAGTGTCGAACAAAATGTCCGCAATAAAGCGGGAAAGACCCAGGAGTATGTCCAGGCAGAGGTCTCTTCCGACCATTATGCTTGAGAACCCAGAAGCAAACTCAAATATTATTCCGAACCACTCTCTGTCTGAGAGGGCTGGGGAATGGGATGATTTTGAAGCATTTGCCTCAAGCCGTCTCAAATCACCAAGTGGAACTCCAACTAGACCTCCATCAGCACAGTTTCTTTCACAGGAACCAAATACAAACCAGATGGTGTTTGTAAATGATAAAGCGATTGGTTTAAGAGTTGATGAAGTTGATATGGGTATTTCAAAGCCATGGGATCTGCCTCCTCTACCACCACGTAAACCCATGAGAACCCAGGTGATCACCATGGACAGCTGGTTGGATAGAGCCCAGGAGCTGGCTGTGCAGAAAGAGGCCTGCTTTCTATCCCAGACTGACTTTGCCTCCCTTCAGCGTGTGAGAGACGGAGACTTGAAGAGGAGCTCTCAAATTGTAGGTTCAGATAAAGAGTTGCATCACATTTCTTCAGTAGGGTATAACAAGATGGAAGCGGAGTTGAACAGTGATATCAAACTGAACCAATTCATGTTTGGGGAAGCAACAGGGCAAGATTTCCCTACAAACAACGCTTGTGGCTCTCCAAATGGTTTCGGTGAAGATGCACTTGGAAGCTCTGAATGCGAGAACACGGTACCTGAAACACTTTGTTTTCCGTCTGATTGGGAAACCACGGTGACCGAATCACTTTGCAGTTCACCTCAGACCCAACCCAAACACGATTCAGAATTGTCCTGTGAAGTAAAGGTCTCCAATGAGCAACCACTACAGACTAAAACCAATGGCATTGGTTTGTTGACCCTCTCCCCTAGAGATTCGAACAACAATACAGATATTACTTCTGAGTTTGCTTTCATTGATTCTGAAAGTTCACAGTCGGACTTGCAACCACCTTTTGAAATTAATAAAGAAGGTGAAGCATCCAAGGTTTCTTCACATTTGCACTCTGGCAACGGTTCCTCACTTCCCAGGTGCTCACCAGGCTTACCTGAGGATATATCGTGCAGAATGGCGTCAGAGTTGAAGATGTTTTCACCAAGGAACACTCATAATGATAGCACATCACATTTGTCTGACTCACAAAACCATAACCATTGCTCATCACCTTTTGAGAGATCTTGTGAAGGACTGGGAGGACAAAAAGTCGACCATTGTGAACACCAGAACACTGCTTCAAAGTGTAACTTTGACTCTCAAGACGTGGCTGATGTTCTCCTCAGAAACGACATCACTGTGATCACTCAAACATTCTCAAGCAATGACAACACTGTGACAACTCAAATCCAACCAGAGATGGTGGAAGACAGTTGCATCTTGCTCCCTACGCATGATGATGAGGAGCCTAATGTTAATTTAACAGAAGGTAACCTAAACTCTGAAGTCTGCTTCTCAAAGAACAATGAGGTCAAGGGATCTTGTTCGACGTTGGATGAACAAATCAGCTTTGAGGACTTGCATGCTAGAGTAGCTCCAAGAAATTCCAGAAGCCCCTATTCAACAGAAGTCAGATCAGCCCGCATCAGACCACACTCAACCACAAGCTCACCCAAAACTGTCTCCTGTGCTGACTCGCTCCCAGGCTCTAATAATCCTGCATCAGACCTCATTTTGCATGATCTTTCCTCTTCACCCACCCCATTAGCTGGTACTAATTCCTGTCTCCGCCTTGACCCTTCCCTTCCGGCAAAGCCCCCAAACGAGATGCCCAGCATGAGTTCCACATGCTCCTCCACAGCCCAGTCCCACGTTGATGCACCGCTCTCCCTCTCACCTGAGGAGACACAGCCAGCAAACGTCCTCCTGCCCCATGAGGAGAGCAGGTGAGACCTCACTGCCTTTAAAAGCGCACTCACCTCTGCTCTTACCTGAGAAATGAATTCATTCTCTCTCAGTTGCACTAGGACAGGCTCATAAATGCTCTCACATATGTTGGCCTAGAACAAACTTTGTTTTTGCGCTCACAGCTTGCTATAATTTGGACTTTGACAAATGTGCACCATCTCTTATTATGTTTCCTCCTGGTTTGCTCATGCTGTGTTACCTTTAGTTATTTCATTTTTCATCTTTGCTTTTCTGTTGCTTTATTCAGTCTTCATTCTGTTTTGGTAGACACACCGCAACACATCTTTCCTTGTAGAGGTATCTAAACTTACCATAAAAATAGTATAAAGTTAGATGACAGAGTTGTATTGTTTGCATCAAGTGTTTATGAGAGGTTTGATGATGTGAGATGTAGACTCTAGTAGAATTGTTTTTTAGTTTGTCAGTACCCAGAGACAAAAATTGTAAATGAGATATCTTAAGTGCTTCTCTTTGACAGCGTTGATATTAAATTGCTTGAGACTCCTTTTTTTTCTTATACTTCTAACTAAAATCTACTTCTACTAAAATTCAGTAATCTCACGTCTCCTTTTAGAAATTACCTCAACAGTAATCTCACGTCTCCTTTTAGAAATTACCTCAACAAAGTCTTAGTGCTCAGATTTGCCAAGATGTGACTTCTAGGAGATATTTTTTCAGTTTTAGTTTTAAATCAAGTTTTAGTGATTTTTGTTAGTGCTTTTGTCATTTTATTCATATAAATGTTTTTATATATCTATATATTTATTTCAAATTTGGCTTTAGTAATATTAGTACTTAAACTTATAAAACTTAAAAATTAGAAATGCTATTTTGGCAACTAACTAAAACAAAATAAGTTGAAGTTTTTCATCTAATATTTATATTTTGATTTATTCCAGCTTTATTTCAATTTACGAAAAATGATTTTTAACTGTTTTATTTTTTATTAACTCTCCAAACAAGTTGATGCTTAAATGAAATAAAACTGAGAGCATTAAGTCTTTCTATGACAGAGCAACTCTGAGTTATGAAATTGCTAAAAAATTGCCATTGCAAACATGATTTTACAACAATCAGCTCCTTTTTTTTTTTCTTTTTTTTTAAGATAGTACGATATGTATATACAGTACCACTCAGCAAACACCAGACAAATTGCCACATGATTCTGGAACATATGTCATTGGACAAGTTTTTTTTCAAAAGTATATGTTACTTTTAACCATTACTTCTTCAACTATTCGCTATTGCTTGTGCTATACTCACAAACTCACCAGGAATTTAATAAGCAAAAAACATGAGATTTAGAAAAGTAGCTGAAAGTACAAAATGTCAACAGAGTACTGGTTAAACCATGCTGAAGTCCCTAGGTCTACATAAATACTTAATTTATCTCCTTTTTGCACCGCTGTACAGCCCTCACCCAGTGAAGCCCTTGACCAACACCACTGTGCAGGGAGAGAAGAAACCTGAAAGCCGCTCAGTTCTGGAAAAACTCAAGTCCACCATTAACCCTGGAAGATCTGCACCAGTAACCACTGCTGAGGATGAGCAAAACCAGGTACTGAAAGTTTCATGAAGTAAAGGTGCTTTTAACCTAACAAATTTAATCTAATTACCTATTATTAGATGCCTTAATAGTATCTATTAAAGGTGCAGTGTGGGATTTTTAGCGGCATCTAGTGGTGAAACTTGCAAATTGCAAACAACAAGTCACTCGCGGCCTATCCCTCGGTTTTCAAACTCGAATGAGAAGCTACGGTGGCCGACGTAAGACAAAATATGTCGTCGTCTGAGTCAGCAGCAGAGAGTAGTAAGTCAAGCAATGAGGTTTCTTTAGCGCTGTTTGTTCGCTTTCGGCTACGGTAGAAACATACCTTCAGACCTTCATAGAAGGGGATTCCCGCGCCTATGTAGATATAAATGTCTCATTCTAAGGTAATAAAAACATAACGGTTCATTAAGTAAGGTCTTTATACACCACTGAAAACATAGTTATGGATTTTATATTGCATCTCTGTCAATAGATCCTCAGAAATATTACACAATGCACCTTACATAATATAATAATAGTAATCAGCTGATTGTCTCACGAACGTAACCAGCACATTCTCCCCACAAAGCAAACCCATATAAAGCGAGGGAGAAGAACCACGTGAAACTATGCAACTATATATTTTTTCTAACAGGGTAGTAAAAGTTTAGCTGGCTAATATGAGCTGTTACTGTGGCTGAGCTGGGTAAAGCGTTAAAGGGTCATGAAACCCCCCTCTATCAGCTCAAGTCTAGCTCATAATCTTTTTGAAAAATGCAACTTAAATGGGCGTGGATGGCAACTTAAATGGGCGTGAGAAGAAGGGAGGGAGTGGGTGTGGCACGGCAGGTGAGAGGGGGAACTGTCATCAGCCAGCAGTGTTGCCAGATGTACGATAATTATCGTATTTGTACAATAATTTTGACCTCTGTACAATGTACGATCAATAATGAACAATAATCTCAGAGTTTTCAGTCGTTCGTCCAAACACACATCCTACCGCTTCTCTCTATGACCCCGAATCATTTCGCAGGCTCGCCTGCCTGCACGTACACACACACACACACACACACACACAACACGGTGTCGCCCGGCCCGCACGTCAACACTACACATTCACAAGTCTCCCGCATTAAGCATACAATCAGTGGCGCAGATAGGATTTTTTAACTGGGGGGGACCAAGCTGTCAGCAAATGATTTAAACTCAATTCGTTATTTTGCGTAATTTTGGCTTTAACTAGTGCTCAAGTAGTTTCTTTATGTAATTTGGGCTAATGATTTCCACTAAAAAGCCATTGGGGGATTCTTGTTTGAAATCATGGATAAACAACAATGAACAAAGGTAAACAAAGGCCTGATAGTATGCCAATCACCCACCAAATCTTCATGTCTTCAGCAAAGTATGTTTTATTTAAACATTTGCTTATCTCAGCATACAAAGTCTATCATTATGAACAAAAAAGCAAAGAACCTATGTGCAAAAAATAAAAATAAAATAACAACATTATTTTCTACTGTGGCTGCCCTCCTGCAGATCCTCACTTGACTGACTAGGGCCTGCCTTACTGTCATCAGAAATCGCCTGAGGCCAGGAGGACAACAGTTTAAATCTTATAATTTCAGTTAACCCTCTATACCTCTATCTATGTGAATATCAATGTGAAATACAACATATTCCTGAGAATTAATGGCTAAAACTACCATTTCAAAAATGTCTAAGAATAACTAAAAAATTTAAATTTAAAGGTGAACTAAGTAACTTTTTTACCTTAACCGAACAGCTTTGGAGTCATTGTAATGTTTATATTACTGATTTCGTGTTGAATGGTGGTCGTCTCGCACCCCCCTGGTGCCTCTGAGCCGCAAAACCACCCTTGCAACTTTGGGCCGGCGAGCCTGAGTGTTAGGAAGTATCGTGTGATATCAGGTCTCGCGAGGTAACGAATTGCTTTACGGCAAAAAAACAGATCTGATAAAATTCTGATAAAATGAGCATCAAACAGAAATAACCCGGCGCCGTATACATGTGGTGTTGGGCGCGCGCAGCTCTTAAAGGGGCCATACCTTATTTCCACTCGTTACAGCGTCCATCCTACTGAACAGGTACCGGTGTACAGGGGGAGGGGATCCGGCCGTGAGTGCGAGCCATCTCTGCGTGAGTGCTATTCACGACAGGACAAGTGCTCCACAGCGACTCTAGGGGTCGCTGTTTGACAAAAACGGAATTCTTACTGAGTGCTGCTTTAAGTGTTAATTACAATTTTGTTGCAATTTATAGATTAGAAATATCTTTCAAATGATGTATGACATATTAAGAAATGTTTTTCAGAGCCCATAATTTAAGAATCTATATCCTCCGTTGCTCAGTACAATAAAAAAAAAACATGATTTCCTGCTATATAGGATGTCAAAAGTTTATGTAGGCCTTTATTTGTTGTTTGCATAAACCTTGCACCACACAAATTTACTTATAGTGGTTTACACGACAGTGAACATACCTCACCAATTTATACAGTACAATGGGTTAAATGATAAGATAAAACATTATTTCCTGACGACGATAAATTGTTTGATTTATCCAACCATTCTTTTTGTGTTCATTCATTATTTGCCTCTGTCCACTCACCTAAATGCATAGTTATGGTCTCCACATTTTGCTGTTTACTAAGTGCAAAAGCCTTATTGTCAGACTAGCTATTCCCCTTAACAAATCTAATCTGCCACATCTGGGAAAGTCAACAGGCATAGGATACTTACATTGTTTGTTTTTTTTAAAAAACGAGGTGATTGTTTTTGTTTTTGTCTCTTCATTGCCTTTATGTGGCATCTATACAGTCGATTTTGTTCAGTTCAGAAAATCACCGACTCAGCTCAGTCATAGATGGTATATGATCACTATGGTTACCGGTCCGCTCCTACAGGCACGATTAAGGCAGCTACTAGCTCCTCATAGGACCCTGGCGACGTCACTCGGGAGGAGTCGTAGCACACACACACTGAGAGAGAGTGTAAACGTCGGTGGCATGAAGGCATCGTGTGTTTATTGACAACAGAACAGCGTGTAGTGAGAACGTGGGTATAAAGTAATGGTGACCGGTGTAGATCAGTCTGCGTCTGCCCCGACCCGATTCTGAAGCAGCGGTGGGCCGGGACACTCTACTTTGGCTAATGTACATATAGCGAAAACATTGGTTAATCCTCTGTTTTACCGATTTTTGTCACCTTTTGTAGGGATAGTGAGGGGGGGGGACGGATCGGGTCACTATAAATCTGGGGGGGTCATGTCCCCCCCGTCCCCAGTGCCATCTGCGCCCTTGCATACAATTGATATATTATCGAAATATCTAAAATGTTCATAACGACCGCTTATTTAACAAAAGGCAAGTAAAATGACCAGGGTTACATTTTAGAGACACACTCTGAAGGGATAGAAAAGTCCTCAGGACTTGGTACCGCATTACTCGCAAGACGTAACTTGCATTGGTCATCGACAAGCCCGAAGTCCACCATTCTCCAATTCTCGAAGCTCTCTCGGGTAAAATGTTTGCGGCACTTGCGTCCCATGATGGTCTCTCTCCTTTACTACGCGATATCACAGTTTGACATGTCTGTGGAAAGATCCACGTGGTGTCATGAATAATTAAGAGACCGTGTCTTCTCATAGGATATAAAAACTCAGTCTCATTAATAATTATGAGAGACCGATGAGTCATCAACGCACTACATTGTGCACTGCCACGTCACAGCCTGCGATGAAGATTTTAAACCCGGAAGACGAAAATAGCTGGAAAAAACTCAAATTTAACCATTTTCGCCCTACTATTAAATCTAACAGATGCTAACATTGTCTTCAATGTTGTTCAACACACATACCTCTGTTAAAATCTCAGAAAATTTGGTTTAGGGTTTCATGACCCTTTAAGCCTTGTTTAAACTCGACGCGTCCGCGTGAGCCCAAAGGTGCGTGCGGCAAAAATAACGTGATTGTGACAGCGCGCGCGCCTCCGCATCCCCTAGACACCACTTACTACACACAATAGGCTTTTTTTCTCTAATTTTGGAAACTCGATCGACTTAAAATGCTTCCAATATCGACGGGTTGGTGATTCCTGTTCTGTTTTACGGTCAATGACAAGAGTAGCCTACTAATCAGCTGTCTCACGAACTTAACCAGCACATTTATCCCCACATAGCAAAGCCATAACACAGCGAGGGAGAAGAATTAAGTTACATGAAACAATCCAACTACATATTTACACCACTGACCAGGGAAAAGTCACTACTCACGGTGTTTATGACTAGCTTCTAGCTTCCTGCGGCTTCTCTTTCAATGTAGTGACGAAACGCGCTCTGTAACGCTGTTTGTTCGCTGTCGGCTACGGTAGAAACATGACGTCACAATATGGCGACCTTCATAGAAGGGGATTCCCGCGCCTATGTAGATATAAATGCCTCATTCTAAGCTAATAAAAACATTACGGTTTATTAAGTAAGTTCTTTATACACCACTGAACACATAGTTATGGATGTCATATTGCATTTCTGTTAATAGATACTCAAAAATGTTACACATTGAACCTTTAAGTTTTTATCTAATAACACCCAAAATGTCCCTTCTACTCAACCTCTCAGATCAATATGCTTTTTTATCAGTGATATCTGTTGTTCAGGCTCTCAGTAAACTGTATATGGACTTGTGCTGAGTGCACTGTGAAGATAATGAAAGAACGCACAAGTGATCGAAAACCAACACTTAATAAAGTAGTTTTAGTTCATTATGCTTTACATAACATTACCATCTTTCTCTCGTAAACATGACTGTGTTTCTGTGTCCTGTGCAGTTGGCTCTGATTGAGGCCCGGGCTCAGTATCAGAACATGACCAACATGGAGCTGATCGCTCTGCTGCTTCAGCAGGAAGTGGACGTCAAGAAGCAGCGAGCTGAAACTGAGGTGCAGGAGGCGTTATTGGAGAAACGTGAGGCCGAACTGAAGAAGATGAAGGTTCAGGTCAGAGACCTGGAGGACTACATTGACAAGCTGCTGGTGCGCATTATGGAACAGACGCCCACCTTGCTGCAGGTACGCGCAAGACCAAAATGACTACGGTGACCCGCTCCGTCCTGAAAACACTATTGATCTAAAGCCATTTGTGATGCTCCATTAAATTTCAAAACTGCCAGATTCACGTAGACACGATAAAGCTTTGCATGCTTTTTACTGGACTTCCAAATCCACAGTCATTGACGTTTAGCATATTACTAGTCATTATATGAGCACAAGGCAGTGGTTTAAAGTAAAAAAAAAAAAAAAAGGATCTGCAATATTCATTGATTCTACCAAAATAAGTCTTCCTGTTTATGAATATGCTAATTTTCATCGTAAGGATGGAATAAGAAGATCTGGGATCCTGACGCATCAGTATACCAAAATGTTATACATATTAAACATAAAAAATGTCTCACGAAATTACGAAAATCCACAAAACAATCTAAAAAAACACATTTCTTCTTTAAATATCACTTTAACACCCATAATTGGAAGTAAAATAGAATAATAAAATTATACTAAAAAAACAGAAATTTCTTATCTATCTTTCAGTCCTGCAAACATGTCCAAATCTCAAGAAAATATTGTTTATTTGACTACACATTGTATTGAAACGAATATGTTACACTGTTCAGTATGAATCAAGAGATTTAAAAACATTAGTAAAATTTAATACATATGTAGCCTAATACACCTTGTGTCAAAGTTGATGTAAAATATTGCTTTACATGTAAATAAATGTTACTTCTTGATAGCTTTAAAAGCACCTTAATGCGCATTATGCAAAACCGTTGTGCTTGAGCCAGTCAGCTTTGCCACATTGAAGCCGCTGATATCAGTGCATGCTCACTTCCATCAAGCACAAAAGCAGAGATTGTTTCTGCAAACATGTACGCTATGCAATAATACAAACTGCTAAGCTGTAGCTTAAGTTGATATATGCTCCACAAAATATATTCATGAAGCCTTAGCACTGCTGAATACTTTGATCATTGCTAGAGTAGCAAATTTAGTGATATGCAAATGCCTAAGCTTTCTAAACCACAAAAGCAATGTTTATTTTTTTAAGTTAAAAAAAGATCTGTTGTTTATGTTGTATTGCATTGTAACTTCATTGTGTTGTTGTGGCTTTTTTCAAATATATATTCGGATGGTGTCTTATACCATTGTTTTTGTTCTGTTTTTAAGGTTAAAGTGTGTGATTTTTATTCAGTATTCAGTGTTTCCTCATTTCTTCTTCTGATGAAAACTTTATGAGGTTTTGTCACACAAGATCATCAGTTCTATGTCTCAGTATTGGACTTAAAGAAAGTACAGGGTTGCAGTTGATTTTGTTGAGTCAATGCAATCAAATTTGTATTTGTAACAACGCATCCTGAAAATAAACATTTTTAGTTCTAGTTACACAGCCCTCAGTGTCCCCCTGTGTGTTCGAGGAAAGAACCATGTTGCACTGTGATTCTAGATTGTTGTTGATTTTCATTTTGCTTTTTAAACACCATATAGCAATGTGCCTCTGGATTTTTTTTACAACATACATTCACATTTGTATTTTCTTATTTTGTTTTATTTATTGCTAATTATTTCAAACAGCTTCATTTTCAAAGTTATTTGAAAATAAAGTTCTAAAATCATTTGGTGTCTTTTGGTTTGAGTTCTTTATGGAAGAGACCTGTATAAAGACCTGTATATGTCTAAGAGATTTAAGCTTAATCTTCAGGGCTGCGTTTCTCAAAAGCATCGAGAGCTAAGTTGATTCGTGGCAATGGTTCTACTTGGGCCAACGATGCTTTTGGAAACATAGTGGCACTCACATCCACATCACATCAACTATCATGGTAGTGCTTTATTTGATTGCCACTGGGTGGCACTACTGCGCTTTTAAGATGATTTATTGTACTTTGTGCTGAAAGGGATTGTTCACCCAAAAATGAAAATTCTGTCATCATTTACTTATCCTTATGTTGTCCAAACCTGTATGAGTTTCTTTCTTCTGTTGTACTAAAAAGAAGATATTTGAAGAATGTTGGTAATCAAACAGTTGAGGGTAGCCAGTGACTTCCATAGTTGAAAAAAAATATATATAGAAAAAAAGTCAATGGCTACCATCAACTGTCTGTTACCAACATTCTTAAAAATATCATTGTTCAACGGAAGAAAGAAACTCATACATTATTGGAACAACATAAGGGTGAGTAAATTATGACAGAATTTTCATGGGTGAACTATTCCTTTTCTTTTTTATATATATGTATTAGGCCTACATTAAAACAGCCTATTAGTAAAAAGTACATTATTATGGATTTTACATAGATAAGATTTTACAGTTAACTGAATCCTCACAGCAGCGTTTCCCATAAAAATGTGTGCAGATGGGTATCATAAAATATTAATGTTGTGGGAATACAAGTTTAAACTGACAGTGTCTCTGCTTGCATTGTTGTTTGAGCTTTTAACATTAATATGCCACAGTAATGCAAATTTGATCATAACAACAATTCCTACAGGGATGGCGGAAACTGAGGTTTACATTCTTGGTTAATTATCTCTGGTGGGACAAACATGAAGATAACCCAACTAGGTGCAACAACAAAAAAGACATTTCATGTCCCTATATATATATATATATATATATACACCCTGTTTTTAGTTATGACGTTTGATTGGCAACGAGCTAAAAGGCTATACTATTTTAAGAAGGAAACAACAAACATTAAATATAAAAATGAACACAGATTTGTCTGATGATTATATATGATATGGTTGGTTAAAATTAAGTATATGAACCATAAATAAAAAAAATCTCTTGAATGTATGCAGTTATTCAAGAGATATGCCATGATTATTTGTAACTATTCAATACTGTTATAATTTTTATATCAGTTAACTGTGGTTAAAAAAAAATCTCTTCAGTGACCTTTTTAAATCCTAATATCTAGGGCTGGGGGTGGAAAAAAAATATAATATTTGAAGAATCATTATATTGTTCTGAGTACATTTCTCCCCACAAAATCTACGGTGGTTGTGGCTCTGTAATATATGCACAGCATGCATGACATTTGGAGATAATTCATTAGATCTGCTCTGAATGATTAATTATTCTATTACATGCAATGTCCCAACCAACCACACTCTTATCTTAAATGCTGTCAGCCAGGTGGCACCATTTATTTTTGGTTTCCAAATTGTATCTTTTGCATGGTTAAAATGATTCAAGAGATATTCATTTTATGATTAATTTAAGGTTAATTTTAACCAATTAAAAAATGATTTTAACAAAATGAGCTTTCAGAATCATTAATTTAATTATTTGTATGACTGTGGTTTACAGTAATAACAACTTAAGGTCTATTTTGTTGGAAACCATGGTAGCTATTTTTCTAGATATGCAAATTATTTTGCCCAACTTCAAAGTTCTCAGAAGCCAGGAGATTGTTTAAAATGCTGTGAAATTTTTTGATTGAACATTGTGATGTAAATATTTCAGACTTTTGCCATTATAATGCGCTCTATCTGGTTTGTCCTGAGTTCAACAGGAAACTACGCTTCCCATGAACCCCTGCGAGCTATTGCTTCACTAGTTTCGTACCCGAGTTGACTATTCTTACAAATTCCGACTCATGGACCTTTTTATTATTTAACATCACTCCACCGCTGCTGAGATGGCGGAATCGGCGTCTTGTCCGGTGTTTCAGCTGGGAAAACCGCGTTACGAGCAGGTAAAGAGTTTGTCGCGATCTTAAAGTGCATCTTTGTCTGGGCATCTTTGATGGGCGTTGATAAACAACATATGTGTGCAGATACCTTTGCATTGCTCCAGCACTGGACTGCGAAAGTCACCCGTTCCTCGCGCTTTTTTGCGTTTTGCCTTTTGTCCATGGCTTCATTGCAATATTGTTGGCCAGTGCAGTTGTTCGTGATGAGCGTATCAGAGGTTTTTGCACCGTTATAATAGAAACCCTTAAACATCAGATGCATGCCCAATAGCGTTTCTTTTTATTTGCAAAACCCGAAAATTACTAGGGGGAAGGATTGGGTTTATTTTTTTTTTTTTAAACGCTGTTGAATACAAATTCATAATCACTTTTATTTTTGCATTACGTGGGAGTGATTTCGCGGGACATTATTAAAGTTCACAATTTTCTAGAAAGCTGGGGGGAAAACTGCCTCTCCTCCCTGTTTTATTTTCTTTCTAAAACAAATGTGATTATACACCGGATGTACTCAGATTTTCAAGTTTTGCCTTTTGATAAAGGAGCATTTTTTGCTAAACGATTGCAAATAATCGTCTCGTCAATTGTGTCATTTGCGAAATCACACGCGCTCGTGTCGGTCAAATGAATGACCATCTATTTAAGTCCTGTTGCCTCCATGGAAACGGTCATCCTAATTAACCCGTTCAGACCCAAATTATGTTCCATGGAAGGAATATGACCAGTTTATGTAAACTGTGAATAATGCCATAAATGATAATCAGTCAAAAAATAGTTTTATGATAATGTTTTAATAGTTGTTTCTGATGCCCATATTGGTTTTTAACAACTTCTGGATAATCATGCTCAGGTTTTGATGGAAGTTTTAAGAACACTTAAAAATAAAATATGCTAATGCAGAATTATAGTAGATTCAGGTTGTTTTTAAACAAAGCAAGTTATTTTCTAATAGCCTATATCTCTATTATTAGACTAATAGCTTGAATTCCGTATTGATTTTGAATTGATTTCTAAATATTATAAATGTCAAGTCGTCACCTTTATTTATAAAGCGCTATATACAATACAGACAGTTTCAAAGCAGCTTTAAAGTGATAACAGGAAAATGATGCATGAAGCTGGTTGATTCAGTTCCGTTGGAAAGATCATAAAATATTAAAATATTCTATAAAGCAGTTCTTCAACAAAACAAAACAAAAAAGTCACCGTCCAGCTCAGTTCTCATAGAACAGCATCAGTAGTCAGATCAATAATATTGTTGAATATTAAGTGTCCCCCATAAATGTTCTAATATTAGGCTATGTTATAAATATATAATATTGTAAACATTTAGTAGAGACAATCATCCACATCTACCTGCACATTATCTCCTTTGCTTGCAAAAATAGTGGTGCAAGTAATGGTGCAAAAATTATTTCACTTTTTGTAAACAGGATAAAAATAGTAGTTGATTATTACTGAAATCACATGTGTTTTGCAGTAGAATATCATACAACTGTTTTCTTGCATTAGACCCACTGTCCATTACAGTGTGCATTACATTACAAATAGTGTGTAGTTAAAAAACTACAAAATAATTTGCCTTCCCTTTGTTAGTCTCCCGGTTATATATGTTGTCTCTGAATGCACCTCAATAAAATACTCGGGTCAGTGTTTATTTTAGTGCAATCATGAGTTTCATCTGAT